GAAGTCAGAAGGCTAAGGTTCTCAGAAACTTGAACTTGAATCTGTGCAGTCAATTTTCAAGGAGTCTAATTAGAGTCACATTCCTCCCAGGTCTGTGGTGGAAATTCCCATCACATTGATGAAAATTGTGCATAAAGATCATGGGAAGAGCTTGCCCTAGGGTTTCCTCCTAGCCTGTAGGATTTGTTGTGGTTACTTTAATGCAGTGGTCCTTGGAGACGCTCATTTCAGCCCAGTGTCTACCTTCCACATGCTGAAAATAACAAGTTAGGGGTGGGAACCCCAGGAGATGTAGTTGTATTTTCATTCTTCTTTTTTTTTTTTTTAAAGATTTATTTTTATTATTTTTTTATTGGAAAGGCGGATATACAGAGAGGAGAGACAGAGAGGAAGATCTTCCGTCCGATGATTCACTCCCCAAGTGAGCGCAACGGCCAATGCTATGCCAATCTGAAGCCAGGAGCCTCTTCCAGGTCTCCCACGCCGGTGCAGGGTCCCAAGGCTTTGGGCCGTCCTCTGCTGCTTTCCCAGGCCACAGGCAGGGAGCTGGAAGGGAAGCGGGGCAGCCAGGATAGAACCGGTGCCCATATGGGATTCCAGGTGTGCAAGGCGAGGACCTTAACCACTGCGCCACCGCGCCGGGCCCTTTCATTCTTTATCTAGGATTGATTTATTATGAAAAAGGAAACATTTGTTTCATAAATGCAAAATTATTAACCAAGTACGACAAAGTAATTCCAACCACTGGAGCAGAAAAGTGCAGCTTGGTGTTCACTAATGACTGACTTCTGGAAAAGATTTAACCTTCTTTAGGGATGAAGGTCATTTCCTTGAGCCACTGGGACTCTGTGGGTTCTGAGACACGATTTTGTGTTAGAACATTTGGCTAGAGATTGTTGAATCGGTCTGTGGGTAGGGGTTAGAGTATTCTTACTTTTTAAATAAAGATTTTATTTATTTTAATTGAAATGCCAGATCAAATTTACAGGGCAAAGGAGAGACGGAGAAAGATCTTCCATCTGCTGGTTCTCTCTCCAAGCAGCCACAACAGCTGGAGCTGAGCCGATCTGAAGCCAGAAGTCAAGTGCTTCTTCCAGGTCTCCCATGTAGGTGCTATGTGCAAAGGATTGGGCCATCCTTGACTGCTTTCCCAGGCCACAAGCAGGGAGCTGGATGGGAAGTGGAACAGGTAGAACATGAACCAGCATCTATATGGAATCCTGATGCTTGCAAGGTGAGGATTTAGCCAGGAGTCATTGCACTTAGTCTTGAGCTATGTGACAAATGAGAGAAAGTGTAGATAAGAACTGCAGTGTTGGGATATGGCATAGTTGTGGCGGGGGGCGGGGGGAAGATGACATTGCTAAGACTGTTAAACCATGTATGCCAAAGCTCTGGGTCTTCCCAACTTTTTGTGCCTGCTCAGTGACTTGGGCTCCACTTTAGCTCAAATAGGGCATTGCCTCTTCCATAGCTGATTATTTTTGTCTGCTGGTAAATATCAGCTGTGGCAGTGCTCCTGTGCATTACTAAATGAATACATAAAAGCTTGGCATGTGAAACCAGAAATCTTTTTTTCTATGCTAAGTATCTTGCTTTACATATTTTTGTATCTTAAATGTGATATTTCAAGACAGGAAGTGGCAAGTCTCAAAGGATCCAGAAAAGCCTGGAGTGGACAGATGTTAGAACACTACCACAGAGTTTTTAAGAGATAGGGACCAGTGCAATGGCCAAACTGGCTAATCCTTCCCCTACAAGTGTCAGATTCCCACATGGACACTGGTTCATGTTCCAGCTGCTCCATTTCCCCATCCAACTCTGTGGCCCGGGACAATGCAGTAGGGGATAGCTAAAGTCTTTGTGACCCTGCACTCAACATGGGAGACCTGGAAGAGGTTCTTGGTTTCAGATTGGCTGAGCTGCAGCCATTGTGGCCATTTGGGGAGTGAACCAGCCAATGGAAGATCTTTGTCTCTCCTTTCTCCCTGTAAATCTGCCTTTCCAATGAAAATACATTTTTTTAAAAAGATGAGATTTGTGTTGCAGTCATCTTTTATATGTTCTAGAGAACAAAACAGTGTATTGAATCTGTTTCAGGTAGATGGGTATTTCAAGCGTTTGTCCTGAGGAATGAACTGAACATGTTTATTAACCATTTCACTCATGTGAATTCAATCTTTACAACCAGTTTGTGATCGTGATTCTATAATTTTTCGAATTTCATGTCTGGGGAAACTGAGGCATAAGAAAGTTATCTAGGGACAAGTGTTTGCTTCAGTTTGGGATGCCTGAATCGCAAACAGGAGCACCTGGCTTGAGGTGACGCTCCACTTCTGGTTCAGACACAAACAGAAGCCCAGACCCCATCTGAGTCCCCTTCTGAGTCTGCCAGGGGGAGCTTCTGTTCTTCCAGGCCATGCCTTATGGGATGCTGGTATCCAAGCTGCAGCTTAACCCTCTGTACTACAACTTCAATCCCGGAGTTAATTTTTAAAACTTGCTATATAAAGTGAATACATTTCATGTTTCATGCGACAGACTTAGAAGCATATTCTTTTAACTACTGTTTTGTACCATCTAATAAAGTGGTGCTGAAGCCAAGAGCTAAATAGTGACAAGGAGACACTTGTGTCCTCCTGGAAAGAAATGCTCTAGATAGAAGCCAATCCACGATGTAGGGGAGTGCTTGCCTTTTTTCAAGTGGGTTTTGCCATCACCTGCTGTGCCAGCATCCCATGTGGTTGCTGATGCAAGTCTCAGCTGCTCTGCTTCCACTCTCCCTCCCTCTAGGATGCCCCGGAAAGCAGTAAAACATGATCTTCATATCTGAGCTCTGACCAACCCCGTAGGAGACCCACATACCTCCTGCTCATGACAAGGAATTTGCTTTTCATTTGGAGAAAAATTGAAAGCCACAGAAGGCTCTCGGCCACAGAAGGGTTACCAATGAAGCATGATGCAATCTGTTTTTCAATTTAAAGGAGTATTCTGGCTGCTGTATGAGGACTAATACTGAAACAGAGCATCTACAGATGAATATAAAATATTAAATTTGAATGTTTCAGTCAAAACCATACAAATACAAACACGGATGTAGGGTCATTCTTACTTTCTAAAACTCGGTGTACGGTTCTCAAAACCGGTTTCCTAGTGAAATGTGTTTTAGTAAAAATAGAACGTAAGATCATTTAATATTCTCTGAAACTTTTGTGGATTTCATAAATAGTTGCTGTGACCTTTGATGTGATGTTACTAGCTGAGAGGATTCCTGCCTGAGCTCTGTTGGGGCACGGGAAACCCCATCACCCTCTTCCACTGACTTCCCCACAGAATTGATGGCTCTTGGCACTCAGTGAGTGTTTGCAGATGGAAGGCAGCTGGGGAAACTGCGCATGCTCCATACTTAGCATTTTCCCCTGGCACTAGGGCCCTCTTTGTCAGCTGGACCCAGAGCTCCTGCATCTTAGCTCCACGGACTGTGCACTACATTGCTCATCCCTACCACGAATACTTGGCTCCTACTGAGCAGCACCTCTGACCGTTGGTGTGGCAGCCTCCTCCTAGGTCTGCTCACTTGCCGTGGCTCAGGGAGCTATGAATCTGTAACTGTTCTAGAACTGCTAGGATGTCTAACCTCCCCTTCCCCAGGCCCTGTTGGCTAAGTCTTGTTAGGAGAGATTTTTCTGTAACAAACTATACAGAAATATGTGACTAATGGTGGGTAGAGCTGCAGCTCTACTAGGTTAGGAGATAAGCTTCTCTGCTGATGTGTGCAGGAAGTTCTGGGGATGGAGAGAATTGGCCGTGCTCTGGAGGCATTTGGAAGGCAAAGCCTAGAGATGTTGCTATTGCATGTGATGTAGGTAGGAAAGAAGGACCATCTGAGTACCAGTACTTGGCCTGAGAGACACAAAGTCTAGAAAAAATATGAAAGGCTTTGTGCCTGAGAATGAAGTATTTGATTTAGAGACACTTTAAATGTTTGCTAGATATCCAACTGAACTTACAGTACTTATTTGAGTGTTAAGTTCAAAGTAATGTGTAGAATTTGTTGTACAGTGATTAACTTGATAACCCCGAAAGGCAATTTGCATTCGCCTGGTTAAAATGATGACTTTTAAGATAGTACCTGCATATATTTACAATTACCTGCTTATTTCAGTGTTCATAAATGAAATGAAATACACCCCTCCAAGTACAAACCCCCCAAAGGGCAGTTCAGCTTTCTGATGTAGCTGTATGAAATGTAAGAATAAAACTGTATAAAGCTTGTTAGTTTCTTTCTACTTGTTCATCCCTATTTTGACAAAGCAGGAGCTAAGGATAATTAGAGCAAGCTTTGAGAGAAAATCTCATGCCAAATTTGTACATGCAGCCCAGAGTTAGAGATTACTGGCAGTGAAGTATCATTTTATGATGTAAGATGAAAAATTCAAACAGCTTACAGGATTTTCATACATTTGGTGCATATAGGAAAATCAAGGAGATATTGGTCCAGTGTTTTGTCCCAGCCTGTCAAGTTGCCACCTGCTAAGCCATCATCCCATAAGAGGGTTGGCTGGAAACGTCCCAAGTGCTTAGACCCTTCCGCATTTGTGATGTGCTGGATAGAGGTTCTAGGGTTTTGACTTTGGCCTGATATATCCTCAGCCCTTGTGGCCATTTGGGGAGAGTGAATCAATGTATGGAAGATGACTGTCTCTCCCTCTCTGTGATACTTCGTAATTATTTCAAGTAAATAAATGAATGGTGTGCTAAAGAAAGGCATAAGGGAAAAATCAGGAGGACATTTAAAAACTTGACATGAAATAAAACACAAGAAAACAAAGCTTTTTCTCCTGGAACAACAGATAATAGAGCAAGAAATGCTGGGGGTACACAGTAATGCCGAACAATGTCTATCCTATGCGCATGCCTCTGGATATGCTCGCTCTTGAGTTTTAAATTTCGATGACTCCATGAAAGAGAAAGAACCACAGAACTACAGGAGTATGAAGAAAACATTTTAATCAGATACTTAGTACAGTAGTTCCTTGTGGGGACTGGCTCTTAATTGAGTAGCTGAAGGAAGTGGTTGTGCTGGTTGAGGGCTCAATCCTAAAGAAGGCAGAATACAGCTTTTCTGCAAAGATTCCTTGCTCAGTTCTGCCCAACAGGTGGTAATGAATCAGCTTGGGAAACCTCCAGAAATGACAGGGAAGGACTAAGTAAATGGGGGAATTGGTTTAGAAACAGACCATGGGACTCTGAGCAGGTGTAGTTTCATGCAGAGGTGGTAGTTGATATACAAAAGGGGTGAGTGTCATTTTAGCTTCCTGGTCTATTTGTATTTCCAGAGTAAAACATAGAAACTGATCTGTGGTTCTACCAACTAAGCATTTCAGACAGATTCATTCCTTGGCCACAGTCAAGATCAATTATTCTTACTACTAATTTTCATGTTCGCTTCTTGCATATCTGTTACATCACTGTCAATTCTGAATATATGAAACCCAAGCCAAGAGTATTTCTGATCTGTTATGTTAGTGTTAATGTGGGAAGTGAGGGTTCTTGAGTATGAATGTCACTTGGTACATTACAATGTCAGACAAATGATTGTGCTTTGGCTCCCATTCAGTTTGATAGTGCTTGGGGTAAACTCTAGAAATTTAGTTTGCTTTGGGTGGCTGTCATGATTCAGAGGTGTTCTGGTTTCCTTCTGGGGTCATAAACTGCACTTTGGGCACCATGAGAGAAGAGTTGTTCCTTCGAATGGAGTTGTTCCTCCTCATGGAGTTGTTTCGCCTCATGGAGTTGCGCTTCCTCAGAGAATTCTGATGGGACAGTTCACTTTTTTGGAGGGTCTGGATCAGGATGGAAGGTTTCTCATCCAACTCCCGGGCGCTGCACCGTGGAGCAGCCACTTTGACCGTGTTGCCAAACTTGGAGTAGTCCACAGAGTACACACCTTCTTCCTCTGTCACAATGGACACAAAGCGGTGGCCCCACTGGATCTCCTCAGCGATGTAGGAGGTTCGTGCTTGGGTGGTGATGCCAGTCGTTTCAACCACTCCTTCTAGAATCACGATGACCTCCAGGTCTTGGTTGACGAGGTCAGTGGCTGAGATATCATAGAGGGGGCTGCGCTTGTCAATCACATGGCAGATGATCAATGGGGCGACCAGAAAGATGTTGTTGCTCTCAATCGGGTTGTCCACAGGAATGTCCATTTGGTGAATGGGCACCACCTCCCCCTCTGGGGTGGTGGTTTTCTTGACCACCTGGATGCGCACGGAGGCACTGATGATCATGCTTTTCCTCAGGTCCCCCACCCGGAACATGAAGCACAGCTTGCCATTGCGCACGGCAATCACAGCGTGGCGGCTGAAAATCAAGGTCTCTGCCCTTCTGTGGGCCTGAGCCGTCTTCATGAAGATGCAGCCTAACATGACTGCATTGATGATCAAACCCACAATGTTCTGGAGAATCAAAACTGTGATGGCCAGAGGGCACTCCTCTGTCATCATTCTCCCTCCAAACCCAATTGTCACTTGAACTTCAATGGAGAACAGAAAGGCAGAGGTGAAAGACCTGTGCAGGATAGCAGAAAACAGTGCTGTCAGCTCCCGTCTTTGGTAATGAGATAACACACCAACCAGGGCTTGTTTTCTTCTCCTATGACTAATGTTTCCAGAAAGACTAAGCAATTAGTGAAATTCCTACTTCTAAACACAAGCGTGGTCGCTGTCTTTCTCTCTCTGCACTTGAATATAATTCTATTCAAGGTCTTTAGGTCCGCAGGGATGTGCTTAATTCTATAAAGGTTTAAAATCATAAATATACTATATTTAGATTTACTTCGCAAGATACTTTCACAAGGCACAGTTTACTTTGTACAACTTTGTACCAAGTGTTTGATTTATTATATATCTGAGACTTTAATCATAAAAAAGGAATGAGTGAATTGTTATTTATAACCTTTAAATTCATAGGCATTAGCCAACACTTGTAGTATACCTTATATGATATAGAGAAAGCACAGTGCTAGGAGGTATAAAGCATATTAATCCAAAAAATTAGTATTTTTAGTTTAAGGCATACATTATTTCAAAAGAAAAATTTTAAGGAACATCTCATTTTGTTCTCTAAGTGACCTAGACAATACCAAAGTTTCTAAAGGAAGAATACAAAGCACAGCTTAGTAAATGACTGTTGTAATCACTACAAACTTGAATCCCTTCCGTTCTGAACTGCTCAGAAAGGCACAAAGGGAAGGGGTCAAGATTCTGTAAGGGAATGACAGTTTGTCACTAAAATAGGATGTGTTTACAATCAGTGATTCAGAAGGCACAGGTTGGACTTGGCTAAGACTTTTTGGAGGAGCTCTTACATGATTCTGATTGAAGCCTCTGGTTGAGAACCAATACATTTGGTTGCTACAAATTGACTAATGATATCTCCAGTATTCTTGTGGCATCTTCATAGCAAAAATAGTAACCTCATCTTTGACTTTAACCCGTTTCAAACTTTTTTGACTTTTGAAATACAAGCCACACATGTATCGTCAGTCAAAATATTATCTGTCTAAATGCCAGGCACAATTGGTGACCAACATGTGGGAACCCTGGAGTATTTGGCATAGATGGTACACTTCAGTGGGAGACTGAGAAGGGCAAGCAAGGATACATCCATGCCAACAGCTCTGTTAGTTTTTAAATGAATTGGAACAGTTTGTTTTGTTTTATAATAAGGACCCATGGAAAAATGCAATTTTTTTTGTACCAGATATATTCAAGAAAACAAATGCTTTGCCCCAAAAACACAGTAATGGGCCACAAATGAGGGACGTGGATACAGTACTGATTTCTAGTAACACTTCAGGGAGCAGCTTATTGATGAATATCCCCAAATGCCTTGGTTTAATAGTTTGAGAGAATATTCACATCTGACTGTTCATGGCTCGAGAGACCATATTCTGCATACCATTTGTTTTCTTGAAGAATTTAGCTTAAACCTCGCATATCCTATGAAATCCAGCTATGTACACCCTTTCTGCTAAGCAATCACAATAAGATTGCTCCCATGTTCTGCAATTGAGAAATCTAGTCTGAGTAACAATGACAAAGAGGAAATACTCTTCAGCTTTCTGACTCACATAAGAGAGTTGTCTATACAAAACAGAAAGTCATTCCAGAATAAGAATGGCCAAACACTGTCAGGAAACGCTAAGGAAAAATGTTGCTTTCAATTTTCATAATATGGTTGGACACTGAACTTACGAAGATATAGGAAAGGCAAAGAATAAGCATATTATTAAATATCCTGTGAATTCCATTTAGGAAGGGGAAAAGATTTTCCTGCCTATATTTTTAGAAAAGAATTAGGGTTTATTTTAATTAAGATACATTGTGATTAAAATTTAAATAGCACTATGATTTTAAAATGAAATCTTTAAGAAGAATGTTAAAACTCTAAAGAGAAACAATGCCATTAAAATTCTCAAATTGTTACGCTGGGAGAATCAGCTTTGTCCTATTGTATTTCTGACATGTCTCTTAGTTGACTTAATGTCCAGAACAGCAGAGATGTTTCAGAGAAATGAACATGCTTTGGGAGGCATCTCATTTGAAAAATAGGAAGCAGCAGTAAACAGTCATTAATAACCAGTCACTCTGAAATTCTTAAACTCATGGAAAGCTTTCACTTTTGATCTATAGTTTTGAAGTTGTCTAATTTCTTTTTCATGGAAAAAGGCAAGGTTTTTGTCCTGTGAATAAAATCTGTCATTTATTTTCAAGGTTTTTATGATTCCATTTATCTTTTTAAAATAGCTACTATATATATTTTTTAAAATGTTAAGAAAATTGAAATTGCCAACACGTTTTCAAAAGAGAGATGCAATAATATGGATCATGAAACTGGTCATGATCTTACTTGTTTTGTGGTTAGTAGATTGATGACCCCCTACATTTACTTGCAGACCAAAACTTTCGACACATTTGAGGACAGAAAACGAGATCAACTACTGGTGAAAGTTAGGGATCAGTTCCATGCAGTTTTCTCCCCGCTCCCAAAATCCAAGTTGGCACCTCTGGTTGCACCAGCTGTGCCCCAGCCTCCAAGCCCGGGGGCTGCAGTTAAGCAGAAGGAAGAGCTAACAGACTCTTGCAGTGGAAAGAGGGGCTCATAGGACTGTAGGGTTACAAAAGGTCTCATTCTTGACCGTTTCCTGGCAGTGTGATGCTTGTTCAAGTTCCTTTGTGCATGATGTGAATTTGAAAAACTATTCAGGACACATCCTGGAAATTTTTCTTTCTTCTGAAAAAGCATTTTTTTTTTTTTTGCAATTAATATAAATGATCTCTGTGTCCCAGAAAAACAAACACGCCAACTAAACTTTCTTAGGTCATGTGAGAATGAGAGGACAGTCGCTGAAATAAGTCTCTTGACCTATTTTTGAAGTACTGAATAATCTAAGAGCAAGAAACCAAAATTAGTTTAAGGCTGTTATGTTCTACTAAAACTTTGGAAGAAGACCACAACATTAATACATGTCCACATAACCTCTACCATGAAAATCTGGACCAATGTCCAATAAAAATCACTAATGCATCATTATGAATCTTAGCAAAAGCTTCGTTTTTTGAATCCAATAAATGCAATCTGCTCTGTTAATAAAGCACTTATTTATTGTTTCATTTTCAGTATTTTTTAAATGTGCCCCCCCCCAGCCTCCTATGCATTAGAGAAGTCATAGGAAAAATTGCGTTCACTCAATGGCTTTTTGTTGTTGTTTATCTGAGATATTTATGGACATTGAAATTGTAGATGGCCACTTCCTCACACTGAAACCCAATGAGAGCTTGCTTCCTTGGAGTAAGGGGAGCTGCTGAATCCTTTCTCCTACAGTTTAAGTACCAGGAATAGCACGCTCAGGGCTAGTGCAAAGGATGGAAATTTCACCATTTGTAAGAGACTATTCAACCACGCTGCTGCACCCCCTAGAAAGACTGTGAGGTGTTGTTTCCCTCCCCTTAATTCTTTGTTTTTTTTCTGAAGACTCTGAAAGAAGCTCTATCTTATTTTCAATGAAGTAACAAGCTGATAAGAGAAAGGGCCTTCTAGTCTCTAGGTAATTGCCTCCCTTCCAACTGCACTCCTACCTGACGTTGGTGACGCACACGGTGGACTCCAAACCTCCCTTCTCCAAGGCACTTTTTTCCATGTAAGCGTAGATGTCTCCATGGGCAAAGGCCACCAGCCACCACATGATAGCGAAAAGCAGCCAGCTGCAGAGGAAGGACATGGTGAAGATGACCAGCGTGTGGCGCCATTTCAGGTCCACCAAGGTGGTGAAGATATCCTGCAGGAAGCGGCCCTGCTCGCGGATGTTCTTGTGCGCCAGGTTGCAGGCGCCGCTCTTGGCGATGAAGCGCGCTTTGGGCAGGCGATCGCGGATGCGCGGCTTGCGCAGGTTCTCCGCGGCGATGCGCGCCAGCACATACTCCTCCGGGATGATGCTCTTTCGGGCCAACATGGTCTTGTAACCATAGCCAGTCTATCCACCTGCCTCTGGCCAGTCTTTTCTGCGCCCAGAAAACGTTCTCCTGCAAGAGGGAAGTGCGGATTAAAAACTTAAATAAAAAGGAAAAACAAAAAAACCCAAACGTCATTTGCTCACCTTTTTAGCTGTACCCTGGGACGTGTGTTCACAGGCAAGGGGACAAGAAGAATGAATTTATTCCTCCAAACACATGTCTGGCTGTGCTTGGTGGTGTTCTGGGATCCCCGAAAAAGCATTTGGCCTGTTTTATCAGGCCAATTGTTCTGATATCTTCCATTTTAAACACATAAGGGACCTTAATTCATTTAAGCTAAGTCTTGCAAGCAGCAGGTGCTAAAAATTCGCAAAGGTATCTGTGCACAGCATCGAGGGTGAAAATTGATACCAGTTGAGTGCACGGGCTCCTCGTTAAAGATTTTAAAGATGGAGCAATATTCAAAAAGAAGAAAATCACCCTGCCTTTTTACAAGTAGAAAAAAAAATGATGTGGCCTCTTGTACCCAAAGAATACGTTAAATGCAACCTCGCAGAAACAATCGTAAATAATGTGGTGTGCAACTTGAACATTAGCAGGAACTATTTGCAACGGGTAGGAAGGATCAGCTGCGTTTTCAAAAACAAGAAAAGTTTCCCACGGAATTCGTTAGGCTTTGAAAACTTCTTTACAACGAAGGAATCGAACCCGACCTGCGCGGAAACACGGAACACAGTAGGCTGGTGATGGAGGGAGCTCGCTCTGGGAGTCCTCCTCTGGGTTTGGCTTTTGGAGTCTTTAGCGGGGGGGAAAGGACAGCCTCCCCCTCCCCTGCCCCGGAGGCCAGCCGAGACTTACAGACTGGGGGCCCCTGGCGGGGCCGCTGCACTTCCCGGCTCCCGTGGGCGCACGGCGGGCAGTTCCCCGGCTCTCCCATCCCGGAACCCGGGAGCCCGGGCCCGCCTGCGCCGGAGGAGGGATGGATCCGGGCGCCGCCGCTCCCTAACAGAAGAGTTATAAAATTAAAAGTGCCTTGGGATCCGTGTGCACAGGTAGGGCTGGAGAAAGAGGGATGAATGGAGACGTCCCCAGTTCCAGCTCAGATCCTTGCCCCAGGCCCCTTGCTGGCTCTGGCGGCTCACGTTTTGGGGCTTGGATCTAGGGGATGATGCTCCACAAAACCAGCCTCCTAGTTAGGGTTGTGACGCGCGCCAGGCCAGGCTGTCTCAGAGGTGGGGGCGGGAGGGCGCCGGCCTTGGGAGGGCCACCCCGGGAGAGGGCGGGGCTCGTAGTGCGTTCTGGTAGTCAGGACCCCTACACCCTGGTGACGCGCAGTCTTTAAAAGGCTCTGTGCACCGTGAAGAGAGAACTTTTGAGTCCGAGTTCAGTGACGCAAAGCAATCTTTATTTTCAATTTACTTTGTAACCTGGGTAGATAACTGGGTTACTTCTAATTATACCAGGGAGAGAGGAGAGGATACTCTGACAAGACATTCAGACTAGTGCACACACATTGATAATTTGCATTAGATTTCTGTGGAGGAGGCATGATGCAGGTAAAAAAAAAAATGTTTTGGAACTTAACACCAATTCTCAGGGAGTTAAACACACGCGCACACAAACGACCTCCCCGCCCCCCAAAAAACCCGGAACAGAGCTGGCAGCTTGGTCCAAGGAAGAAATGTTACCGCAAACGGGGACTGCTGTCAACACTTCAGCGCAGACACAGCCCTTCGGCCTTCAGTAACCGGCTGCTCTCTGACATGTTGCGGCTTCTCGCTCTTGTCCAGATTGTCTGCAAGATAAAGCTGAGCTGGGGCACGCAGCGATGAGTCTACAGTACACATCTTTCCATAGCTTTTTGCAAAGCAGCCAGCGAAGACAAATGGGCTTTCTCCTGCAGGTCAAGCTGCATGCTTTTGGCGCTTGGGTTAATGGAAACTTTAGTTCTTGGAAATGGCATGCATTTTTTCCAAGATTCAGGGCTGACAGTGTACCACGCAAAAAAAAAAAAAAAAAAAGTTGATATAATTAACAAAAAATCCTACAGTTCATCTTTAGTGGTTTCGGGAGAGGAGTGGTTTCCTCCCCTTGTGGGTTAACCTCTTCAAGCCTAGGGAACCTGGTCTGCTCCTGGGAGCTTTTCCCTGAACTGGCACTAATTGCAGTACTGTGTGTAGTCCCTTCACCAGAGGGATATAGAGATTTATTTCTGCAGTTTATTCCTGATTTTTAATTTGTGCAGTTGAGTTTATGCGCTCTTACTTGTCACTTTATCTCTCGGAATAGTTGCCTATTTTGTACAGTTGTTTTAGGTTTCTATACCGACAGACAAAAATATGTAAATGATAATTGTTGATGTTAAAAAGTCAGGCAGCTGTCTGAACAGGCAACACGTTGACAATTTAAAGCAAGCAAGGCTATGATTAGAAAGGAGATGGAATATAAAGAGATGCTGTGAGATTTCAGAGGAGAGAGATTTCAGATTGAGACTGAAGAAATATTTGTAGATTGTTAGCATCTGGTTAGGTATACGTGGGGTACACAAGAAAGGCATTCCATAGACAGGGATACACAAATAAGTCATGGAATATGGACGATTGTGGAATGTGCTTTAGTAAGACATAATTTACTCAGTGCTGTTGGAAACCAAAGGGGGTTGAGCCCCTGAGTCCGGCACTTTCCTGGGCAGCTTCTGTCACCAGCACCTCAACACTTAGTGAGTTATTCATATACCTGTCCCCCCAGATCTCTCAGACCTGTCCCCACAGAACAGTAGGCTGCAGGAGGGCAGGGAATACTGTTAAAATTACAGAGACACGTGAGAAGCATTTTGCAATCTGTGAATGAAACACCTAAGTTTGAAAATGTTTGTTGAGGCTTTGGTAGAATGTATGGGTAGTTGAAATGGCAGCTGGACTGTTTCAGGAGGTAGTGGGGAGGTGTGGAAAGGTTGAATCTGGAGCCAGGCATTTGGTTCAGCAGGTTGGATGCCCACATCACATATGAAATTGCCTGGGTTCAAGGTTAAGGTTTTAGGAAATCCAGGCTCCCTAGGGGCTCCAGGTTGGGGGTTGGCTCAGCCCTTGTGTTTGGCAGTTAACCAGTGGATAGAGGGTTTCTACTTAAAAAAAATGGTGAAGAATGTATGCTATAAAAATATTACAAGAGTGTGTCGTAGCACAACAGGTTGAGGCGCTGTGTAGGATGCCCGCATTGCTTATCTGAGCACCGATTGGAGCTTTGGAGCCTCTGCTTCCGGACTAGCTGCCTGCTAATGCACTTGGGAAGGTGCTGGATAATGGCCCAAATATTTGAGTCTAGGCACACACATGGGAGACCTGGATGGAATTCTTGGCTGCTGGCTTTGTCTGTCCCAGGCTTGGCTGTTGGGGATATTCGGGGGAGTGTACCAGGAAATAGATCATTCTCTCACTCCATCACTTTGCCTTTCAAATGGATACATCATTTTTTTTTTAAAAAAAGCAACAATCTACCAAAATTGTATTTCCATTGCTGTCTGACAATTTGCCTTATACAACGTACCCCCTTTTTCATTCGTTCTTCCATATTACATAGAGACTGCATTAGCATTGGTATTATCTCATTTCCAGAGTCTCAATCCACTCCTCACTCCTGTTAGCAGGTGCTCACTAACAATTGGTAGATGAAGGAAAGACAGAGAAGTACTTGAACTCATTCTCTTTCTGGCATTTGCTCTCTCATCTCTCTTGCATTCGTGGTTGTAAAGCTATTCCTGAGAATCCACGTAGGAAATGTCAAGTATCAAATACCTGAAGTGTGTAAGCTATTATGTCTGTACAGATTCCCCTCTCTACTTTACAGTTCCCCTTCAAATGAGCCATTCCTGCCTTCCTCAGAAATTTCGAGAATAACTCCAAGGGAACAATAATAAAACTTGACTGGCATTTGCTGGCTGTGTCTTCATACCTTGCTCTTGATCTTAATGGGGAAGTACTTCTCTACTTGCCCCGCCCCCTCACTTTTCTGGACACACCATAGCTGTTCACTTAGTATTTATTATTGATTCATCTTTGGCTCCCTCTTTTGACCTTCATTTTCTGTATTATAATGCAAACAGTGAACATTTATATTGATGCCCAGAAATTGACAACATAAATCAATTTTCCAAGAGCATATTTTTTACTTAATGCTTATTTTATTAGTCCATTTAACCATTATGTTGCTGGTGTTCAGAATAAAGGTGACCTATGCTTAGTGAAGACTTAGGTGGTGGTTCTAGATGACACTGGAGAGAAGTTTGGAACTGAGCTCAGTTTGTTTAAACATCATGATTTTCTTGATCATCCAGGAACTCTTCATGAAAAAAAACGTGACAGGCAGAATGACCTAGAGTGGGGAAAGTAAGGGTTTGTATTTGCTGGTTCAATCCTCAAAGATCGCAAAAGCCAAGGCTGGTGCAGCCTTAAACCAGGTGCCAGGAACTCCACTCTGACCTCCCACTTGGCAGCAGCAGCCCAGGCGCTCAGGCTGTTCTGCTGTTAAGAGAGGTGCGTTACCAACAAAGTAGTCAGGACTTGAAAGAGCATGCCAATGTGGGGATGCTGACAATGCAAGTGGCAGTTGAATATATGGCGTGGCGATACTGGCTGTGCCATTCAGGAGCTCTGTGGGAATCTGCTCATGTTATCAACCCAAGAAATCACGCAGTTGGGAAGCAATTTGGAGATACCTGTTCACCATTTCTCTTCAGGCCTGATGAGCACTTGATTTGGGAATAAGAAAGTTTCTGAAATCCCTCTCCTAATTGCTGCTCCGAAATTGGTGAAGTCCTTTGAGCTATGCCCGAGATCAATGATTGAAGTCCTCGACTTTGGTGACTTTGCTTTTGATTGTCTGATGAATACCAAACGTGTGGATTTCCTGAGCCTTATTAAACTTAAGAATCTGGAGAATCTTCAGAATGACAATGGCAACGAATCATGTTAGCAACTCAGATATTGGTTGACATCTTTCTTGGTATGCTGCTTTATTAGTGTCCTCATATAAACCACTTTGGAACATACTGCTTTGGAATAAGCTTAATA